TATTTTTTCTTAATGTAATAAATTAACTGCAGTAGCTTGGAAGAGGGAGTAGATGAAGCCTTAGTTAATCAAATTTATGATTCTAACTTATTTTTTCATTCCTTTTGAGGGCTTTTTTTTTTTCAGAAAAAATGTGTCTCACTCTTCTGATTTCTGAAGTGAGAATAAGGGAACAAACTGTCAGTGAACTCTTGCTTTGCACCAGGTTCTATACACTTAGTCCTCACATAGCCCTATGAAATAGGGGATATTTTATCATTTTATATGTATATATATATATATATGTATGTATATATATGCACACACACACATACACATATAAACTTGAAGCACAGATTACCTATGTTACTTGCCCAGCATCGCACGGTCCGTGCATCTGTAGTCTGGATTAAATCCAGGTAGGTTATTTCAAAGCTAATCTCTTATTCTCACTGCTCTGCCACAGCGCTCTCCAGTAGAAAGATTTTGTGAGTCATAATTGCGATTAAAAATTCCCTGTAGTCACATTTTAAAAAGGAAAAAGAAACAGGTGCAATTAATTTTAATCATATTTTATTTAACCAACGATGTCTAAAACATTAGCATTTCAGCACATGATCAGTATAAAAATTTGAATAATTTAGTATTTTTAATACTTAATTTTTGGAATCCAGAGAGTATTTAACATTTCTGCGTGTTTCAGTTAGGACTAGCCCCCATTAAAGTGCTCAGTATCCACACCCGGAGGGTGTCTTCCACGGTGGAGAGCACAGCTCTGCTACACGGTGAGCTGAAGGTCTGGACTTTCTATTTATACCACAATGTTTACATAATCTTCATTTTCTTTGTTTTGGCATCATCAAAACTGTAGAGGTTTTGAGTACTAAAACTGAAAGTAAGTTTTAAAGAAAGGAGAAAAGAAACCAGTAATAATATTGTTTGGGATTTCTAATAATTCTTAGGAAAGCTGATGTTCTTCACTATCTTCTGGCAGATTTCTGAAATATTACGAGTTCGACTGCATGTCCATTTAAGAACATAAGTTTCATTTACCATATTTCCCCCTTGGCCAGGCAGAAATCTAAAAATAAACTCTTAAGTTGTTAGGTTTGACCTAACTCGTTGTATAAATATCCCTTTGCAGTTGTTTTAGCAAAAGAAAAATCCAATCCCTTAAGTGTTTTGGTTCTAAAAAGTTTAGAAAGCTGATTTCTCCCCTGAACAGTTCCTACCTCTAACCACGGACAAACTTAAAAGGGAAAAAAGAAAGTGAAAATTAGATTTTCTTTTCTTTTTTTCCCACAAGAAGACAAAAAAGACAACCCCCCACCCTACAACATTCTTTCTCCATTTCTCTTTCTGGCACCGCATTGTAAATGATGATTAGTGCATCAAGAATTAGCCCCCAATTGCCAGTCTTCTCTCCGTAAACGCTGTGGTTTTGGTTTCGGGAGCCACTTCCTGTCTCACAAGTTTGGAAGTGCCCTGTGGGAAATGACCACGCGGCACAGACCCCTGCCTGCCTGTGTCTCGGACGATGTGCCCCCAATACCTGACACACGGCAGACAAACACAGACAGTGAGTGCTTGCTGAATTAAACCTATTTTAACTAATTGGAGGAGAGCCAAGAAAATTTCTATAGACTTTACTAAATAAAAGTGGTTATGTATTTTCAAATATATTCATGGAAACACTTAGGAGATACATTTTGATTAGAATGACATAAGATGTGGTAGAAACTCCTGAAACTTAAAAGGGTGATTAGGTTCTACAGGTTCTCCCATGAAACTGTCTTTAAATGCAGTTTTAATGTGTACGAAATATAAAAACTAAGTTTACGAATAAAAATGGAAGATTATATAAAACAACATTTGCAAAATTTTGGTCAAGGGAAACACCTTATATAGTAGGAAGGAAAATGAGAAAGAAAACAGTTATATTTAACCTAGCTTTATATATAGAATCTATATGTGTGTGTGTGCATGTATATGATGGGGACCCAAAAAACCCAGGATTTATTTATAAAAATGGTGTATTTATTCTTACATATTTAAACTTCGGTCACCTTCAAAGTACTCTCTATTTGATGCTATAGACCTATTGAGACTTTTTTCCCACTGTTCAAAAGTTTTTGAATTGGTCGATTTTGGTGCCTTTTAGTTCTTTGATGGTTTTTGTTTCACTTCTTCCACATGGGCAAAACGTTCCCCTTTGAAGACTTTCTTCATCCAAGGAAAACAAAAAAAGTCTATAGGGGTGAGATTGAGTGAATAGGGAGGGTGTGGCACAGGGTCTTTCATGCTCAAAAGACCTAGTTATTGGCAGGTGCAGTTGTAAATTACCCATCATGAAATGGACAAACCTATTCAAAGAGTCTTCCAAAAAAATTACTGAAGTTGAATGCTGCCTCTCTCAACAATGCCAGCTGGTACACTGATACAGATGGGTTCCTAGACCACTCACCTAATGGGGGAAGCCTGTACTACAAGGGGTCCACTCTTCAGAAGGTAATTCTGTTTTGTGTGTGTGTGTGTGCACATACATATATATGTGTATTTAATACCTACCTTATACAAAACAATGAATCGAGAAAAATATATGCAATTAGATGCTATTAGAAGACAGATGACAGGTTATTATTTCTGTATACAATTGGCTACTAAGTAAATGTGTTACAAATTAAAAAAAAGAAAATGTACAGCAAACATTGTCTTTCTCTCTGATGAACCAGGGAAATGAAAAGCACACAAAATTAGGTGAAAATTTTCACTCATCACGTAAGTGTACACACAACAAAGGTAACATCAGATACCGAGTGGCCTCGGAAAGTGTGAATTGCTTGAGGAAATACAACAGACTTCACAGAGACCCCTGTTGAGTAATACCTGCTAATACCATTACTCCTCGCTGTCTTAGCTCAAAACACTTTAGTAAAGTGTCAGAACTGTGTGTGGGGTAAAGTAAAATCACTATTAAAGTGATAGGTCCTTATATATTTTTACATTTAAAGTTATATTTACCAGCTCACTAATGTGCCTTATGCAAGAAACGTAACTTCAAACAACACTTGGTGGCTTCAGATCAGATTCTTCCTTTCAGAACACTGATTTGTCATCATTCAGGACAACTCGATGTTGTCTGTGAAGGTGATTCCAAAGGAGGAGTTTCCGAAAATGTTTGGGAAGTAACAATAATCAAGTTAGCACTAGTTTTTTACAATCGTGCCAAAATTTATTCACCCAAAGTCATGCTTACAGTAGTCACCTTTAGAAAGTGTGGGCTAATTTGATTGTTTGATTATAGATAGGTTGTAGTGTGGTCTGTTGAAGGCTGTTGAAGGCCACTCACAATGCCTAATTAAAATCTTTATTCTTTTAGCATAAAAAATTAGTGACAGTACACTATAAGCAGATTGAAGACAGAGGAATGAAAAGTAGTGGAAGCAATCTATCTAGTAGTGGGTAAGATTCTTCTGCTGCAGCCTCAGAAGTTCTCTTTAAATCTCCATTTTCCTGGAGATTTCCATTTTAGTTCCAAAATGTTGGTGTCTGTGTTTATTTTTTCATTTGTTTCTTTGCTTACATTTTTAGCCCAGCAGCTAAATTATTTTATTAGTTTTTTTAACCTCTTCTCCAAAAGAAGGCTTTAGACAAGAATTCTAATTTAACTTCCCGTTTGCTCTGTCTTGAGAGCCCTTAACAACAGTTCCTAAGGCAGATGTTTTCTAATAAAGAGTAAACAGATACTTCCCCAGCTTTCCACTTGGGGTGGCTGCATCACACAACTCCAGGGAGACACCCATCTTTCTCGGTTTGGATGACCCTGCACCACACTGCTCACCTGCAGGAAACATAGATGACGCTCTCTGGGCTGTGGCTGCAGCCGCCTTTTCTACCTCACTCTTATTTGAGGTGCTTCATGCCCAGATCGTTCAAGTTTCCACTCCGAAAGGGATCTCCTTCACCGCTGTTGTTGTACAGGACTGAATGCTTTGTCCATACTACTTTAAAAGCCAATGTTATGTCCAATGAGATTATTTTAAATTAATTATATTTGCTAGTTCACAAAGGACTATGCCATTATATACTATTAAGCTAAAAGAAGGTGCTACTTACTTTCCAAAGATACATCTTGGGCAAATGTTGAAGCACAGATGTCAATTACAGAGTCAGTTGACTTCATTGATTGTTTCTGATGAAAACACTCACGGTATTTGGAAGGATTTTTGTCTGTGTAGATAAAGCCTTTTGATTCACTACTGACATGCCAGAGACAGTGTTCAAAGCATTCATTGTCATTCCCTAGAGCCCCCAGCTTCCCCTGCAGATCAGTTTGCCTAGATGACCACCTCTTTGTTGCTACAGAGCCCGGGAGGCATGGGGGTGCAGATGGTGTCGCTCCCAGACCGAGGAAGCTTCCCGAAGGGCGACAGACTGGGATGTGAGGGAAAGGTCACCCTTCTTGGATCTGAGGGTCAGTTTGTGGTCATTGTGCTCTAGCCGACCTAACTAAAACAATGCATTTAGCATTTTCTAACAACTATATATATATATATATATATATATATATATATATATATACACACACACACACATTTGAAATGTATACATATATACATTTGAAATGTATACATATATACATATGAAATGTATTTATATATACATTTCAAAGCAGTTAAAGATCACTTTTCCCCCTAAGTTTCCTCCTTACCTTTAGGTCTCTTCCTTGACCAAAATTGTGCAAATATTCTTCTATATAATCTGTTTGTATTTTAAGTTTAGTTTTTATATTGTTCATATTAAAATTTCATTTAAAGTATTCAATGCATCTTACACAAGGTGGCATGTGAAATTAGATAAAATATTCTTGATTATTTGGAAGCATTTTTTATATCTTATATTACCTTCAGGTTATTATTGGATAAATGCATTATCATTGGCCTATCATTACCCTTGTTAATAGAGTGCCAAGCCACGGTCCCTTTAAGTGGCTGTACCCGCTTTAAATCTACTTCTTATACCTGTTCTGAACATTCTGTTCTAACACATTTTTTGAATTCTGACGCCATCGCAAGTTCTTTCAGTTTCAGCCTCACGTTTCATGTGAGACTTTGTCCTCAGCCTTGCTTTTCTAGCTATGCCTTTTTGATCCCCAAACCACTGATTTCAAAATGTGATCCACAGAAGATTCAACTTCCTCTCCCCTCTCCACAGTTGCCTCTGGCTTCCAGACCCCAGCCTTGGACCCAGGAGCTCCGTGGCTCTGCAGGCAGTGAAGCCTTTAGTCACTGAGTTTCCTGTTGTGCTGATTTGGATTCCTCAGTCACTCAACATCAAACCTTGGGGAGGTGGGGAGAAGGGTTCACCCCCTTAGGTGGTAATAGCAAATCGAGTGCAAAAACCATAATCATACCTTCTTTTCCAAAGTGAAGGTTTATAATCAAACATCATAATACACTGTGAAAATTCTAGGAATCTTGGATTGTTAAGCAATTTCCACAACTACTGGATTTTTCATAGGTCCTGAATTCCCATGTGAACAGAGTTTGAAAAATTCTTGTTTGTAGGTTTATTATTAACAGGTAGGTAACTTTTAACATCCTGCACATAGTTTTACAGACTTGATTAGAGTGCATGGAAGACATTAGCTGATACTCTGAGATCCTGCAAGAAATAATTACTTCATAGAGATAATCCTTTCTCGAGAGAGACAGGATTAGTTATATTTCAATAATTTCCTTTTTTGAAGATACCATGGTAGTAATTTTTCCTTAGTGAAGATAAGCTGATGCTTGGACAAAAAAAAAAATCCTAAATGTCCAGCAATAAAAGAGTAGTTATCTAAATTATTTTATCTGTTTAATGTAATCTCATGCAACTATTAACACTAGAAAGACACTGTTGATACATGAAAGATTAGCCTGCAGTAACGGTAAGAGAAAGGGCAGAGCAGTGTCTTCTATGCTTTCAGGCTGAAGTCCCAACCACAGCTCTGAGTCAGGGCTTCAGCTGTGCAGCTATTTGGAATGCAAGTGGATCTGAAAAAGAAGGGGGTCCTGCTGGGGGTTCTGTTTCCATGAGAACTTGAGTAGCTTTCCCGAGAGGCCATGGTTGAGCACAAAGGGTTCATGGTTGGTCCCTATGTAACAATAACTGTGGGGAAGGTCGATGGGGAGGGCACAGGGGTTGCATGCTGCCCCCAGAACGTTTACCAGGTAGACATGAGAGAGTGTCATGATACTTTGCATAGAGACACTGACAAAAGTTTGGGGAGGGGGTAAGGGCAGGTGGGCAGGGGCAGTGGACGCGTACGACATGTTTGTCCTCAATTCTGAACATCACTCGGTATTTTCTTCAAGCATAACCTCTTCTATATGCCCCTCCTCATATTTCCAAACACTTGTGGCAAATTTGGGGTGAAGCTGAAAACTAAAAAGAAAGTCAAAGAATATGCTGAACAGTATTTGGTATGTGCGTGTGTGTATCTGTGTGTGGGAGCAAGTAATACACCGAAGGTAAAGACTCCCTAATCTGTGATATAAAAAGGACTTTCAATTATGTCAAGAGAAGGATCAGTTTTCCTGTTCAAAGCATTAGCAGTTGGTATAGAAGTGAGGCCAGGATCACACCTATCACAGGGGTGCAAGCTATGGCCAAAGAGATGGAACTGGACAACAGAGAGGAGGATAATAGTCATTTGGATGCTCATGGCTTCCAACTTAAATGGGAGACCTACATGTGGTCTTGGAAACACGAGTTATATAACCACATACAAATGTGCATAGAAGACGACATTGAATAGGATGTTCCTCCAAGTTCTGTAGCCAGTGAGAGTACTTTGAAATTGGGGACTGTCTACCACAGTCATTAAAAATTGGGGATGTAGAGCGAGACTGCCTGGTTTTGCATCCTGCTTGCCCACTTCCTGGTATATAATTTGTAGATTTCATAAACTTTGTGCTTCAGTTTCTTCATCTGTAAAAGGTGGTTGTTTTGAGGATTAAATGATCTAATACATATAACATGACAAGAATAGTTTTTGGCACATAAAAATTAGCTATGAGGAAGGAGATAATGATAATGTTTAGAACTCCAAGATGAAGAAAGAAAGCCAGTTCATCACCCATGTTTAAAAGAAAATATTCAACATTTGGAACTAGGCATCTCTAGATTTCATTTTGAGATGGCAGAAGTGGCTTTTCAGTTTCTAGCAAACACCTCAATACTCCTCTGCCTATCTTACAGATATTATAAGTATTATGTGAAGGTAATTCTGGATAACAGAATGTAGAATAGGCTTAACACAATAGCGGTTTTTATTCTTGCACACTCAAAGTCTGTGTGTGCATTCATCAGAGGGTGGCATTCCTCTGTGAAGTCATTTGGGAACCAAAACTCCTTGTGAGCAGTACTCTGACCATTGCTCAGGGCATAACACTCCTTTGATTCAACTGACAGATGGGGAAGAGAAAGTGAGGAGTCACCAGCTTATCCTAAGTGTCAGGCTAAGTCATACAATCCCACATACATGCCAGTGGGGCTTGAACGCTTAGTCTGCTAAGAAAACTCACGTCTGTTGTGTTCTCCCAGGAACATGAGAGGGGCAGCATGGACTACTGCCAACAGTTAACTCTGAAGTAGAGAAAGGAAGAGGTTAGGAGAGGAAGATGTGACTTGCAAGAAGGGGACACCAGGCACCTCATTCTTGACTAAATGCTCACTGAGCTGCTAATTGGCAGAGTCCTCCCAGCGGGACGCCTAAAAGAGAAGGTGAAGGACATGTTGGGAGAGCTTAATGTGTGTTCTTTACAGCCAAGGGGTCAAATGTGAACAAGAAGACTGGTGCTTAGTCTCACATGGTGATTTCATCAGGCAGAGACCAGAGACCTCACTAGAGCAGGTGAATCACAACGTGTGTGGCAACCCTTGTTTTGGACACATGAGAAAAAAATGGGGGACAGGCTGCTAATCTATCAGAAGCCTCACACAAGGACCTCAGAGGTTCCTGTGACTCTATAAGAAGGAGCATAGAGTTGACAAGGAGGCAGAAGATACGGAGTTTTTTTGGCAGCTGCGGGTTAGGTGAAAGGATTCCCCACTCAGAGAAGATTTAGATCCCTGATGTCGCCCAAAAGGAGATGTGCTTGACACTCCATGAAGGGTTCCTCGGTAAAGGAGGAGGGTGAGGTGAAGCGGAGGGGTGCCCCTGAGAAGTCACGCACGAAATCTGTTCAGAAACCGTTGTTGGTTGAAACTCTGAGGACTAGACTTCAGGGTCACCTCCCTTTAATAGGCAACCAGCTATGTCAGATCCCTGCCACTTTTTCTATTTCTTCTTCTCGCATGGCACTCACAGGAAGTGAGGTGGGACAGGTAAAGAGCAGACTGTACCTCTTTGGAAAATCCAGGTCCCAAAGGCCAGAGACTAAGCCTGAGCAGTGGGGAAGGGAACCAGGAAGGCAGAATTCACAATGAGGATTGAATGATGCCGTTCTAGAATCTGAAGGGGGCCAGAAAGCTATGTAATCTCCAGAGATACAAGGGATCAAACAAGGAGATCCCATGGTTATGGTTAAATACAGGGATAAGAAAAATAAAACAAAACAAAAAACAATCAACGCCCCCAACATGTCATGTATGCCCCTACAGGACCAGACTGTTGGGTGAACTGTGTACAAAAACTTGTATAAAAGCTGGAGGTGAGGCTAGAAGACACAGCTTTTCCCCTAGAATCTGTTTGTATTGGTGGACTTACTTGGGGCTTATCAATTGACTACGTGCCAACAAGCATTTGCCAGGGGGAGGAAGTGGACTGTGTGCCTGGTAAGCTTTGTGATGTTCCAGGGCATGAGCATCCCTGCTGTGGGGCAGAGAGAGGAGGGAAGGAGAGAGGAAGAAAAGGGGCAGTTTCTCTCCCTCCAGGTGGTGTGAAGAGTCCTGGGGCTGGGGACTGGAGAGCAGCCCTTTGGAGGAACAGAGACCAGGGAGAATCTTGGGAATTTAAATATTTAGAAGACTTGCGAGTTTCAGAGGTGAATAATTAAGAGGGAGGTTGTTTTATTCATTTTTTATTAAGAAACATGTATCGAATATGTACTGTGTGTCCACACCAGGCATATAATGGAGGGTAAAAGGTCTAAGCTCTGCCCAGGGCATTCGTGAAAATAAACACGGAGAGCTTGAAATGAGCACCTGATCTCTTTGAGGTCAGAAGAGGACGGTTCAGGGAGGTGGCGCAAATTGCCTGGTGTTAGGGTAAGGAAAAGCAGTGTTTCATGTTTAGGAATTCCTTTAATGTTGTTTTAATAGTCCTCTTATAATAAATAATAATCATAAAAGGAAAGAAAAGAAAATCTTGGCACTGTGAACCAAATGGATAACTGCTTTTCTGTTTCTCCCTAGAGTCCAAGTACATTAAAAATCATTTAACTCTCTGATGAAAGGTCTTCATCACCTCATTTCTACTTTCACTGTTCGATCCAGAGAACATCTTCCATTTGCTCATTCCATTTCATGCGGGGTCCTACCACATCTTGTTCATTTCCCCTTGAAACAAATTATGGCAAAGACTTCCTCTTGATCTCTATTGTAATTTCAAAGTCTTTAAGTAGTTTCAGAAGAAGACTGTTTAACAAAGTTGTAGATCTATTGCCTTTGCTAGTTTACGCCTTGAAAGCTCAGGAACCAGAGAGCTGTAGTGGAGATGAAGAAATGAATCAAGCTGTTATCTAAGGAATGCAAGACACCAGTGCCTAGAAAGCAATGAGGAGTCTCTTGTGATTGTCAAGCTAAGCCTGAGAAAGTAGATTTAGATGCTCAGGTGGATTGCAGAAGCTGAAAAGGCATTTAAGCTAAGGGTGAATTAGAGTATCCTGAATTCGCTCCTATTCCTTACCCCCACCCCCCCACTCACGTACCTTCAAGATGTATAGGTTCAAGAAGAGCTTGGACAGTTCTGACTCTACTGAGGGCAGAATATCGGCTGAAAATGTGAAATTATTTGTAAATTTAGGCCGTAATGGCAACACGATGGTTTTCTGTTCATTGTAATGCAACACCACGGGCCTTC